CAACCCGAGATTCGAACCAAATACCTTCAGCTTATTTCCTAACACAGTTACCAGCTTATTTCCTAACAAAGGAGAGAAAGCAGTTGCGGGTGGATGATGTCCCGGAAGGCTTGGATTGCACAGATTCTTGTACTGGATACATAACCTGTTATGCACACTACCACTTCTTTTACTTATTGCTGTCCACATTTCCGGTTCAGATCTGCATGGTGTTTCCATGCTATTTTTCTTTTGGTTTTTTTATCCATGGTTTCCGCTTGGTTTTTGCTCCTTCTTTTTCCAATACCGTTTTATTTTTATTTTCCCTTTCTTATTTTAACGTTTCTTTGTGAACTTCTTAAAAATTCGTGAAACATTTTTCAAAATACGCAAACATTTCCAGATTTGTGAAAATTTTCTAAACGAGAACTTTATTAAAATTTATTAATCTTTTAAAATTTTAACTTGTGAAATTTTTTCAAATTCCTGAACTTTTTCCAAGTTCATAGTATTTTTAAAATTTAAACTCATAGCAATTTTTAGTTTCACAATTGTTTTTCAAACTTATGAACTTTCTTTAAATTTATTAACTTTTTAAAGTTTAACTCAAGAATAATTTTAAAATTCGTGAACTATATTTCCAACATCTTAACTTTTCAAATTCATTAACCTTTTTCAAAGCTAATGGGCAAAGCGAACGAGGGTGCGAAGCTGCTAAGCGGGCGAGCGAGCTTGCGCAATATTTGGCTACGGCCTGCTGGCATGCGCACGACCGCAGTTTCCTAACCGGCGCTTAAAGCGGTGACTAGGAGCTCCTCCAATAGACGATGCCACGCACAGGGATTTGTTCAAAATTTCAAAAAAGTGTTCGCTTTTTAACAAAATTCAAAAACTTAAAAATATTAGCATTTAAAAAAATGTTTGTGTCTTCCAAATTTCCTCAGCATGTCAAAACTCAAACATTTTTTCAAAATTGAGAACATAATTCTGAACACAAACAATTTTTAAAATTTCAAAAGAAAAATAAAAATATAAAAAATTTGGAATTTCGAAAAGTCAGAAAATTACAAAAAAAATGGAACTTTTTTTTGAATTTCCCTAAACATACTTGATTTGTGCACTATTTTTTGGAAAATAGGAACAGTTTTTGAAAGCGCGAA